TATGTTCGCCAATTTATCTTCTGAAATTTTCCATGGGAATTTTCGCAAAAATTACAAAAGACTCGCATAGGTAGGATAAAATTATGCTTGTGGGTGGTGACCTTTAGTACTTATATATAAAATATGCCATTATTCTAACCTGCAACATTTATTTTATTGGGACGTTTTAATCGAACACTTGTCTTTGACAATTTATACATTTTGGTCATAAAAATACGATCAAAACTGCACAAACTATTTTACGCTGCCTGACCAACCTTTTAAGGCAAATTTAGTGGGCTGTTCTTATACCTCATATTCTATGCGTGATAAAAATTTAAACCAAACGCTTTCAAAGCTGTAGACGAAGAAGACGATGCTGACACCTCCCAAGCTGATACCGTCATTTCAACGGACGCGGATTCCGAGGTAATGTCTTGTTAATCAAATCTTAACGCTGCCGTTAATCATAAGTACGAAGTTATTCAGCAGTGGTCTAGTCAAGAGGAAGGCGACCTTTCGGTGAACGTTGGCGAAATATTGCACGTCTTCAAAAAAAGGTTGTTCATTTGTCTCTGTCTCATCTCTAACCGTGTTATAGGGATGACGGCTGGTGGAGCGCCGTTAATCGCAAGGGAAAACAGGGCCTGGTCCCTAGCAACTTCTTAGCCGTAAGAATATTTATCAGTCTGTTGTTAAGAAACATTTGGAATGCCTTTTATTTCCAGGCGGTTTGGTGTTTTAAACTTGCCTAGCGATCACCCTTTTCCTCATGCATTTTTTTGAACTACTTGGACAAAGACCCTGTGCCTCAATTATTATAGCGCCGTCTCGAGCCCTCTGCGTTGCAAACCTAGAATTAGCAATGACCGATCAATGAAAACAAATAAACAAGAAATAGCCACACTAGTTTCCCTTCGCATTATTGATTCTATCTTTCCAAGTTCCTGGATTTTATGGAAATAATAACAAATGGGGAGGACTTGCAATTTAGTTCAGCAAATAAATGTTTCTTATATTTTCCTTTGTTAACTGTGTCTTGCCATTCTGTCATAAATGGTAGAATTGTCAGTTTCATCAGTCCAGGCTCTGTGGCGTTTCGTTTCTAATTTCAATGTGGTTTGTGTGGAACAAGTGGATTCCTTTCAAGTATTCGCCCTCTGGGCGTGAGTATCCCTGGAGATCGGCAAAAATTACTAACCAGAGTTCTGTGCGGGTATTATCTGTTCCTAAATAGTGATTTCTTCTCGTCGCCTTTGGTGAAGCACTTTGATCCGTTTTGTTTAAACCTGTCTATTGTACGTAACGTCCCAATTTGTAACCAAGCATAGGTGTCGGATGAGCTTCTTTTGTCTTCGAGGCCGAGGCAGCACACTGCCATATTTATTTACACGAACATAGAAGTATACGCTTTTCTGTTCAGTGTCTTCGTCAAGGCAACAGTATGTATCATAGTAGAATAACACTCTTCTTTACTTTCCAACTTTGTACTTAATCGAGTGTTTGAATAAAACATAGTAGACATAGAGTATGCCTCTTTGAGATACCCCACATAGAAATAGTATCCAAAATCTGATACGAAAATTTCAAGGCTAACCGGCGGTTTGCACTAGGCCATATCGTTTTAAACCAACTTGTACTTTTGAATATAATGTAAAAGTTACAGAGGACGTTTTATGTTTCCTGCACTGATGGCTTCCGTCCAGACATCTTACCATATTTTTAAGAAGAGCAGCTTCAAAAGCATTCCGGTGTCAAGTGTTAAATACTGCCTTAAGATTTCGGGAAACGATTGGGAAAGAGGTGATGGTTCAACCTTTTCTTCAAAATAACTCACTAGTACGTGTCATTGTCTAAAGATTATACGGTAGAATCTTTGAAAGTTTTTGAAATCTTAAAGGAAGCTCTATCTCTGGTAGGTAGGCATTCAACGATCGGTTACGGAACTCACTCGTCCTATTGTGCCTTGGATCTGGCTGTCGAATTCCCCCCCTCCAGCAGGCGCTCAATAGCTAGCATATACTATGTGCCAAAATGCATTACTGACAAGGATAAAGGAGACTGGAATGGTCATGTCTGGCTTATTACCCGCCATCAGCCAGTCATACCCAACCTCAGGTTCGGAGGTCCCCGAGGTTCGAACCCGCAACGTTGTGTATATTTAGGGAGGCCATAGAAGCGGGCTAGGGTCTATGGCCTCCCTAAGATGCACAAAGAAGGCGCACCCCTCGGGCCAATCGTGCCTCTCAAAGGAATTGTGCATAGTCCTGATCGAAACCGGCGAGGCAA